ATAACAAGGAGCGGTAATAGAGAAACCAAACAATAAGTCTATACTATATAAACAGCAGTAATACAGAAAACACAATAAGTCTATACTATGTAAACAGCGGTAATATAGAAAATAGACAATAAGTCTATACTATATAAACAGCAGTAATATAGAAAATAGACAGTAAGTCTATACTATGTAAACAGCGGTAATATAGAAAACACAATAAGTCAATACTATATAAACAGCGGTAATATAGAAAACAGACAATAAGTCTATACTATATAAACAGCAGTAATATAGAAAACAGACAATAACTTTTCTATATTACGCTGTTTATATAGTATAGACAGACAATAAGTTTATACTATATAAACAGCGGTAATATAGAAAACAGACAGTAAGTCAATACTATATAAACAGCGGTAATATAGAAAACAGACAATAAGTCTATACTATATAAACAGCGGTAATATAGAAAACAGACAATAACTCTATACTATATAAACAGCGGTAATATAGAAAACACAATAAGTCTATACTATGTAAACAGCGGTAATATAGAAAACAGACAATAAGTCTATACTATATAAGCAGCGGTAATATACCCATCTCCAAAGCATTTGTAGAAGCACAAAAAATATATATCGTAGGCTGCAAGAAATCAACACTTGTAAAAAAACCTAAAGGCTAATTAAAAAGCTCACCATTTAATTGTTTATTCATTATTTATTATATATAATTTCAAGTACAGGTATTTCTTTCATACAATATATGTTTTTGTTAATTATTTATTATTTTAATTGGGAATAAAATATTTTTATCAATTTTTTTAAATCCTTCACGTACCTTCTAATTAAACCATATCTGCTAAAAGAGGATTTGGGTTTTTCTTTTGAAAAGGGGGAAATTCGAAACTTCAGACTGATAATTTAAAACGATCAATTTTTGGCCCTGGTATTTAGAACCACCCTAGTGTATATCCTAACGTAACCTCCACCCCTCACATGCTTCTATAGGCTAATTCAAAAATTTCATCTACAAGCATTTTTAAAAAATTCGATAGGTCAATCCTTATAGGAAGAATATCCTGTTCGCTCTGATGGGTAATAACCCCATTTCTTCTCCAGATCTGTTCATTTGCTGATTTGGCGATGGAGTCGACTTTCGGGGGGGAAGAATATCATGTTCGCTCTGATGGGTAATAACCCCACTTCTTCTACAGATCTGTTCATTTGCCATTTTGGCGATGGTAGTCGACTTTCTGGAAGAGTATCATGTTCGCTCTGATGGGTAATAACCCCATTTCTTCCCCAGATCTGTTCATTTGCTGTTTTGGCGATGGAGTCGACCTTCGGGGGGGGTAGGGTAGTCATGTTCGTCTCTGATGGTGA